AAGCACCTCTTCACATGCCCTCTCAAACCACACGAGCTTTCCGCGAACCAACATATATACAATGGCTCACAGCCAAAGTGGTGCAGCCGTATAAGAAACAGTATAACAAGTTTTAATTAAAAATTTAATAAACTTTCCAAAAAACATGAATGCCATTTAATAGCGGCAGATATACACATTTCATTCATGCTTTACAAGTTTTATATTTTATGTTTATTTTATGTAATTAACAACAAAAACAAGCTTCACTATTACATTGTACCTCACAGCGAAAATGATGCACAAAGATTTACGTTATCTGCGGCGTCTTGTCGACAAGTTTTGAATGCAAAAGAAATACCGTTATAATTTAATTAGACAGCGATTTGCTAATATTGCGCATGCAAGTGCAACGTGACTTGGAGTTAACTAAAGGTTTTATTTAGGCTTGAGAATTGCATAATGTTAACAAAAAAGTAATAAACAAAGAAGCGGCTGACATGTAAGACTTTATCTTGTATACATGAATACACGAATGTGCACTCGAAAGCTATTTTTCACTTCGAGCACATCAAATCAAGCTCACCTAAAGCAAGATATAAGATACGTATGCGTATAATATACTAAATTTCATGTCATCTGCTCAAACTTGAATGTAGCATATTGAGTCTCGTTACCTGTGTGCCACTCGATCCAAAACAAATGTGTCGAGTGTTGTGATTGTACACTCTATTTGAAGCTCTGCAGCTCGTATTATTGTCTCCAGCAATAAGTTAAAAAATTCACACGATAAGGAGTCACCTTGTTTGAAACTTCGTTGTGCATCGAACGGCTCGGAAAGGTCCTTCCCAATTCTGACTGCGCTCCTGGTGCTGTCCAGCGTCTGTTTATACAGCCGTATAGAGGCAACTACTTTCCGTGCAGTCGAAGGCAGCTTTAAAAGCGACGAAAAGGTGGTGTGAGTCGATCCTCTTTTCAAGGGTCTTCTCCAAGATTTGGCGCATGGTGACTCTCTTGTCAATGGTTGACTTACCACAATGATAAGGTCCGGTGGGCTTTAGACTTTCGCACAATACGCTTGTTAGGATCTGTGGGATCGTCTTTTTTGTGTATTGCGCAGAGCATGCTTTCATCCGACCATATTCTACAAAGTAGCTGATTCATGCACCTGATCAGTCCTTCACCACCGTATTTGCATAGCTCGGCCGGTACTCTATTGGTTCCCGCCGCTTTGTTTTTTTTTTTAAGCGGACAATTGCTATTCGGACTTCTTCATAATCGGGAAATGGAACAACTTTTCCATCGTCAGCAAATAGAGTTTCAGTTTCACCTTCTCGAGGTGTTTCGTTTTCACTGCCATTCAGTAGGCTGGAGAAAAGTTCCTACCATAGATTCAGTATACTCTGGGCATCCGTCTCCTGCCGGCTTCCCTCTTCAGCTCACGGTATCTATACCAATTCGCACATGTTGTGGAAATCGCAAGGTTGCGAGGTAGACAGTCTGTTTTCTCTCAACTGCAACAAGGCATTCCTAATCGTATTAGCTGTTTTTGCAACGAAGTCCCATAGTTTCATTTGCAACTGTGCGTAGGGAGTTTGAAATGCCGTCCCACAGTTCCTTTATACCGGGTCCCTGATGTATGCTTTCAGAGAGTAGGAGTGCAAGTCGAATAGAAAACCGATCGGCAATCTGTTGTGATTGCAGCTTTTCAACACCAAAACTTCTGCGTACCTGCGCTGCGAAAAGACATCTAAAACACTGGATATTTCGGATCCCGCCGGAGATGATCAGCCTCAGCCCATTTGGGGATTTTTCGTATAAGAGGCTGAATTTACCGACGTCGCACCAGAAACACCTTTTTTGCCCACCCTAACGCTGAGGTCGCAAAGCTCAATTTTGACATAGTGGTGGGGGCAGCGCTCTTAAGTGTGCTCGAGGCGTTCATAAAAGACATCTATGGTCAAGTCATCTTTCTCTTCCGTCGGAGCGTGGAGGCAAATTAGCGTGGTGTTAAAAAATTTCGTTTTGATGCGGATTTTGGCTAGAAGTTCATCCACCGGAGTGAACGGCAATACTCGGTCACGGAGTCTCTCTCCCACCACGAAGCCAATAACATTTCTCATGGACCAACCTTATTCTGTATCTTAATCCTTCAAACATTTGCGGTGGTCGTCATCAAAATAAGGGTCTCTCATCTAAAGGAAGATTGAAATTTTTCATTGGATTTTGTTTTTCGTGTGGTGAGTCACAAACCCTGCGCACATCCGCATGGTACTCGCTTTTCCACTATAGCTCGTCTCCAAGCAGACGTGGTCTAGGACCGGAAGTCGTAAGCTGCTTGAACCATATTCAAAAGAATCGTTTCTGGATACTCTCAGGTGAGAGGCATATGGTGAACGTATGGTTACATTTTTGTAAACAAAAAAATATTGCAGTTATATAGTTAAGATTCCCGTTACGCGACAGTGAATTAAAAGCGTTGTCCACAAACCCTCAGTTTGTATTTAGGAACTTGTTATTAATATGGAAGTCATAAAATTGCAGAAGGAATGTTGTTGCTACGGTTACAATTACGGTAATGTACTCCTAAACGTCCGAAAGAGAGACACGGTAGTGCATTCTTAAACTTCCGAAAGAGACTACACAGTTTATATAACTAGCCGCTTTTAAAAGTAAAACTAAAACATGCATGGATTTTATTAAAAAAATAACCCAAATTTTATAATGTTCAATTAATGCCTTCCAATTTTATTAAAATACAAAAAATGCTCGCCGGTTTAACTATCAGCAGTTTGGAATATAAGCTCGAATCTTGATAAAATGGAGTGGATTTCATGACATTTCAAATCGATTTTCTTATGACGAAAGTTAGAGTTTCATAGAACTTATGAGATTTTCCAGGCAAAAATGGTGTTTTTGGAGAATAAGTGATCTGTCACGATTTAAAAAACGGTACCTCATTGCTAATCGAAGTATTTACAGCTCTGTTACGAGCGACTTAGGAATTGAATCCGATTGGAATTGCATAATCACCTCTAAAGTCCTCACAGATTTATTTATCGTAAGCTATGTATGTCCGAATCCGATAATACAAGGAATACGGTGTTTCTGTGTTTCAATTTATCTAAAAACTCCGACTCATTTGGTCGACACCGCTTTCTAGTAAATTAAAGAAATTCAAACTAAGCCGGAAGAGGTCGTAAAATAGCCGAGTGCTTAGCATTGCGTATTGCCCTTCTGAAGGCCAGGCTTCGAGTCCTGGTCCGATCAACATCTTATACTTATAGATGTTACTTGAGTTTTTGTTTTCTAAAAAATTATTTTCTGAAAAATTATTCATATACATATGCAAGAATGCGTCTCTAAAATGATCAGCGAAGTGATACAGTTAAAGTGTTCATTGTTAGAAATGGAATTTACCTTCTAATGGTCCAGGTCAGATATCTTGCTATCTGATCTGTTTGCGTCTTCCCAGCCATGCTCCTTGAGTAAGCGTTTGGCATTGGGTAAAGGTCACAACATTTTGCAACGAGCCTAGTGCTCAACTTGAATACATTTCACATTCCCCCTCACCCGCTTAGACTTGGTCCTTTGAACCGGGATTTTTTAAACAAATTTTTCACTTCTAAGCACTAGCGAGTACACCACCAATCTCACCGACGAAGGTTCCAGTGTTAGGAAGCAACATTTAAACACACCATCAACATTCACAAAATTCCAAGGTTTCTGTGCCACATATGCCTACTACGCACACTTCTATACATCAAAACACTGTGGAATAATATTTATAAATTCAAACGTACGTGAAATTTCATGTGCATCTCAATAAATTGCGAATTTATATAAAAATTATTACACCGTAATTATATGAGTGCGGTGATTTTGTGAATATAAACAAGTGAACACATATCACAGAAAACCGATTTTGCTTCAACCGAAAACTTTCGATACGCTAAAATATAAATATATTTTACGTATTTAATACCGCAGTAGTTAATATCATACACTATTCAAAAAGTGATTGAGCAATTATTGGCTTTCAATTTTGTTGAGAATTTTATGCATTTGTTTTATTATTTTCAAAATTTTTTTCACTGTTCACTGTTTTACTTGCTGTAAAAGCAAAACTTTTACTTCTTGCATATTATCAATTTTGACAATAACAACAACGCTACACTTTGAAGAATATAACCACAATAATTCCATTGGTATTGTACTTTTGTTTAAATTATTCACAAAATCACTTTAGACTCAATTACTTATACGAGCCTTTCTAAATTCCTGCCTGAGTGGAAATTGTTTACCTTTTTTGGCATACGTTTGGTGGCGAGTTTATAAATTATTCAACACACTGCTGTAAAATAAACCGTTAATAAAAAATATTTTATTTATCAAATATTAATAAAAACAAATACACATTTTATCTATCTCTTTATATTGGTGTGGCTATATTCGGTGATAAGCTCATTTTTCCATTATAAATCACATATGTATATTTAAATCCACCACGAGATTTCTATCTATATATTGTGATTTTACCTATTGAAATTTTTGTTATAAATCACATATATATTAAATCCACTAAGAGATCTCAATTAATATATTGTGATTTTACCTATCAAATTTTCAATTGTAAATCGCATATATATATATATATATATATATATATATATATATGAAACACCTCCTCTGCTTCTGTTCGGGCTTATCAAGAATTCGTATTAGACATTTAGGAGCTTTGCAGTTCAAAAAATTTCCCTAGTTTTTTGGATTGCAAATCGAGTTTGGATATCAAGGTTATCTTAAACTTGCCTCACGTCAGCTCAAATTAAACGACAGATGCATCCGGCACTTCAAAGGACTAACAGGTAGGAGTAAGACGTAGTGGGTTACGCCTAACCTAACCCAACCTCTTGAGCACATTCTTTTCGTTAAACAGTATTACAGCTTATACCCCATAACCTCAAGTTTATGGAGAACATAATATCAGTCAGTATGTAAAACTAAAAAAAACTTGTATGTACATTGTTGTCATATACGTATGCATGTATGAAACTAGGGTATAATATTTATTTTATTTATTTTAATAATTTTAATTTATATATAATTAAGGTGGCCTATATTTTTACACGTTAAGATTGCGACCGTTTGCTTGCAGCCACATATAGAAGAGACTTTATAATAAGTATGTTAAAACGCAAGATGTACAAAACGAATATGCAAAATAATTAAATAATTCAGTAATTCCAAATGTTGTCAATGTGCTTTTGTTTTAGGTAGGACTAAAAAGATCCCGTTATCCTTTTAATTTTTTCAACATACATACATATAATTTTACAACACCAATATTTTTCAAAGCCGTACATAATATTTAGATGTACATATGTATATATACAATTATTAATGTTTTTATGCACATTGTTTCTTAATTCTATTTTTTTTCGTTTATTCTACTTACGTACTAAATGTATCTGAAATGTTACATTATATCTACGGTTCACAAATAATTTCATAATTGCCTTAAGTTAAGTTTCCCCTCCTTGCAGTAAATATGCAGATCAGCAAAATACGGGTTAAATTATCAACTGCTGTGGTTGTTCTATTTTTGTTTTTTTTTTGTTGGCTAACGGTAAATGTAGTTTGCAAAAACAGATCGAAATATTCTTAAATCTTATATTAAGGTAATATAGTATGAAGAAATGTTCTGAAATCCGTTCCGATGTCGATCGGAGCTACATAATTATCTTCTGTTAGCCTATCAGATATAATTTTACGGAACCTGTATTTTGATTTTGAAGTTTTAGCTAGGTCTATGTTTTTTGAAGTTTTTTTCATTTTTCTTTAAATTAAATGACATAATTTGACTCATAAATCGACGATTGCGCTCTACTCCCACCACATTTTTGTTTAATGGGTTCCTTTACTACATTGTAAAATTTTTTTAATTTTTTTAATTCAGTCGGAAAAATTGTTACTGACCAGCAGCTCGCCGAAGAAACCTATTGCAACGAAAAAAAATCGATTCTTACACTTCGAAGGGGATTTGCATTTTGATCGAACTCTTTAATACCGGAATCAATTCAGATCGGATTTCAGAACAGCCCCGATAAGTTTATTCAAGATTAATTTTGGACTTCAAACATTGTATTGTACAAAAAGAATCAGAATTTGTATGTATTTCGAGTAAAATGTTTTCTGGCGACTTTCGGATTGCTTGATGCAAGGTATTGCATGCAAGGTTAATCAACAAATTAGTCAATACCGAACCTATTGTAAATATTATTCAATATTAGATAATTATATGATTAAAAAGCAACGTTATGAGAATCGCAATGTATGTAAAAGTTCAATTTCACAGCGGTACATACATACATATTCACATTTAGTATTAGTATAGTATATTCTAATAATTCTTTAAATTTGAAGCACAATATATATAAGTTAAGCTTATTGCTCTCCGCTTTTTTTTATCACTTAATAAGAACTCAAAATAATATAAGTTTATGTTTATATGTGTTTATAATTATACGGACCTATATATTTATATTAGGCCTACTAAAAAGTAATCCTCTTTTTTTGCAATAGGTGGTTTTTGTGATCCTTACCTCGCGTTCTATAAGTGCGAATAGATGGCGATAGAAAGATGACATTTTGTACAAAAAAGGATAACGGGAGAAGTTTTCACCAGAGAAGTAGTGTTTAAGTGCATATCAGAGATGGACACTAGCAAAAAAAAGTGTTTATGGTGTTTATAACAAGCTGAGCATTGCACAAATAACTTGAAAAGGCTGGATACACAAGGTAACTCAATATATGGGTGCCTTATAAACTAACGAGAAAAAAACACATTGATCGCTACTGAATTGTAAAACAATGGGTGAGTGGTGATGAAGAACGCATAACTTACAGCAATGTCAAGCGAAAATGGCCGTGATCGACCGGCGCATACCTTTACCAAGCAAGGGTTGATGGTTAGGAATGTTTTGTTGTGTGTTTGGTGTTATCAGTAACGAATCATCCACTTTGAGCTGCTCTACTACGTGCAAACTCTTATTTCGGACCAGTACTGGCAGAAATTGGACCGTTTGAAGAAAGCAAACGGGCAGGAGCGCCCAGCTTCAGCCAAAGTGAAAGAAATGTATTTCATTTAGACTACGCAAGACCAAACACATCTCGCCAGAAACTCAGGAAGCTTGGTTGGAAAGTTCTTATGTAAAAATAAAGTGTTCCAGTTTTTTTTTTTTTGCCAATGGTTTCCATGAAAAAAGCTTTATGACATTATCTTCAAAAATATAACAAATAATCGAGCAAAACGGTATGGTAAACGAAACCTTCAATTTAGTGAAAAAATGATGGATTACCTTTTACTAGACTTACTAGTTATTAAACCTTTGATTGTGGAACCTATTTGATAATTCAACATTTCTTAATATTTCACAACGTACAGCTATACATTTCACAAAAATTACATTTCAATTCTTATATACAGTGCCGTAATATCTTATTTCTGATACACAATTATACAAAGTTGTATATATATATGTTTATATAATTGGCGCTTTGAACGGCTGATGGCTTCTTCTTTTTTGAGGAGCAACCACGATTAAAAACTTTAACTTAATTTTTTATTTAAATAAATTTACTTTGACTTCAGAGTAGCTGTACGCAATTCTAACCACTCGGCTACCGCTAACAAAGATGTATTACATAGTATATAAAGACTAAAGGGTATGAAACAGAAGATATAAATAGATATTCTGTAAACAAATCACACTTTTTTAATCTCGAATCATTCACAACACCATAAATGCATTTAAAGTACGTTTCGATTCGTGGTAATGATTGAGACCCAAAAATAAAATGCTTCTCTTTCACTCAACAATTTTTTTAATTTCGGGCGCCCTTGGTAGAGAATGTCAACCCCTCCGACAGTAGTTCTGACATAAATTAAGCTCCTCAAAAAATATCATCAGCCGTTAGGCGACTTTGAATAAACTGTAAGAATATTCATTTGTTGGAAAACATCTGGAACCGTACCACAAAGGATGAAGAGTCAATTGTAGAGGTATACATATGTACAGTGTTGAAAAAATAAAAGGAATGATATGTTAATATATAAATTATCAAGTATAACAACACTGGATAACTAAATTTATTTAAATATTGCGCCCAAACGGCAGTTAACGATAACTTTTTATGCAAAATCATTCACTCTACTACTTATTTTCATTGTATGTCGGGAAGAATGTAAACGTGAATACTTAACTGGGAAAAAAACCAAAACTTTAAAAGGTAAATAGTTTGTTTTTGACGCCTTAAAAGGACTTCATAAACGTAAAATAATAAATTTATACTGGATATAATTTTTCAACAAAAAAAAAAAAACGAACATAAGACTGTCGGAGGAGAAGATTACATTAATAATAAAATTAAAAGAACAAGCACGCAATAAGCTAAATAGCCATACGCTTAAATTTCACAAAGTAAAAAATAAATAATGAATGCGTCATTCCTTCCTAGCAGAACTCCGAGAAATGTAAACTTGCTGAGCGTGAAGAACAAAAACAACAGACTTTTTGTCAGAAACATCTTTTCCCTCAGAATTGAAAAAATTCCTTGTGTTCTGAAGGGGCAAAATTAAGTACATTTGGATCAGATGGCAAACATCATGTAAGACAGTTTCACGAACACCCAATTTAGTTATTATAATATGAGGTGTCTTCTCGAAGGAAGGCGTTGATCTAATTTTTAGATAAAGAATAAAATGTGCGCGGCTAAACAAGAAATTCCAATACGATGGGAGTTTTTGCGGGATATTGATCATAAATATGAACCGAAGCTGGTAAAGCAGTTGTTGAATAAAGAAAAGGTTTAAGTTATAGAGTTACTGTGTAAATCGCCTGAGCTAAACTCCATTGACCACTTTTGGGCAGATCTAAAGAAGAGAACTGGACTGGAGGCAGCAATAAAGACTAGCTGCGAGGTCAAATATAAAATTCATGGTACTCAATTCCAATGAAAGTTTGAAAAAATATCGTTGTACCGAGTCGTTGTTTTTTTTTTCTCAGAAAAAAAATCATGTATATGTTTAAGGTTTTACTACCCGGGAAAAAAGAGTTTCAAGCCAATTGAAACGTAAAAAAACATTTTTAAAATTTATTTCCTGCATTTTAATATAAAAAACTACTAATCTATTAAATGTCAAGAGAATAGAATCATAAATAAGATTTTTCGTATAAATTGGTCCCCGTTCTGGTTTTCGGAAAAAAATCTACTCCTGTCAAATAGGCATAATTGAAAAAGTGTTTGCCAAATCATCACTAGCGTTCTTAATAAGTGAAAAACTTAATTTTTTTTAATAATTTTTAATTGAAATTACAATTGTCAAATGTATGTAAGTTTATGCAATGAAGTGGCTCAGCAAGCATTTAAATGCAATACAACTGATCACGTTTACGCAACAGCACGCCTACCTAGAGTTCCTGCTTAATTCATCACACATAGATCTATGGACCAAGCAAACTTGTATGTGGTTCTTGGTACGAAAATATATCAAATCGAAGCATAAGTGTAATTCTTTGTAATAGATTGGTTTCAAGTCCCAGAAGGTAAGGAGTTCCCTATATACCAGATTTTAAGTAAATTTTTACAACTAGGCTTATACTGCAGGGCACTGTATATAAGTATTAGTAGCTGACGTGATATGCATTTATATTGCATAATTAGATTCAATTAAATGTATTTATATTTTACAAAAAAAGTATAACATATTCGCAACTTAAGTCTTGTAACGGTTATTTCCATTGTTTATATTCTAAGATCTATTCTATATTAACTTAACATTAATTTTACCTGTTTATCGTTTAAGTTATTTATTTCCAGTTACTAGTTAAGCTTACGATAGGCTTTTAAAATAAAATCCACTAAGAGAGGTTCACCGAAATCTTTTCACTTTCTCACTTAAACTAGAAATTTTGCTGGGGCAGCTTTTTGTAAGTGGCAGATGAAACGACTTTATGAACAGAAGCATATTTCTTGTGTTCTGTTTTGTACGTCGACCTACCGCATAACGCTGTATAGATCTTGTCAAAGAAAAAGATATGGGGATGATAGCCGCAGATTTTACAGCCTGTTTGAGTTCTAATAATGCCGGCTTTTGATTCTCAGTGGAACCAAATTTTTCTGGTGAAAAATGAGGCACAATCCAATTTCTATCTATGGCGCTTGATATTTTTGTTTTCATTAAATTACTAAACAATCTAAAGCTCTTGCTAGCCATAGCATTCTGTTGTATGTTATGCGACCTGGAGTTTATCCTAACTTTTAGGCAAGCACTAATGGCAATAGCTATTACAATCGCATAGATAATCTGTTCATTACAATCAAAGATTAAATACTTGTATTTTACAAAATAATACCACGTTCGTTGAAATTCGGCAACATCGGCATATTTCTGGCTCCGAGTACTTTGGCGATGCAGTGCAACTTCAGTAGATTGCTTTTTGTCTTTGGTAAAACACAATTGAATTGATATCGAAGTATTATAACAATCTAATATCCAGCCAGATATATTGAAGATTAAATAACTTGCTGCGCAATATATAACCTTCCAAGGTGACCACAGCCTCGTTGATGTTGCTCCGCTATTGTAGGTGAGCTCTTCGTTTTTCACCACTTCATTGGGATGCTTGCCAAAGTGATCATCTACAAAATAAAAATAAAATAAAAATAATTTTACTAGTAAGGTAGTCTTAATATTTACAATAGATTTAAAACTACAATAATATTTCTGCTAGCGTGAGCTTATCGCATTTACGAGAATATTTTACACTACACTTATATTAACCATTAGTTATTCTTCTATGATATTGTCGTCATGCAAGGAAACATATTTTACTTAGTTCTAAAAGTATACATACATTCATATGTATCGGTTTTTTTATTGATTTTTCAAAATATGATAACTTTGTGTACATTTGTCCCATTAAAATGGTAATCACTTGGTTCCAGGTCCGGTCTATAAAGTGGGTACATTAGGACATCCCATCCGACCTCCTGGAGCTTCTGGCGCGTCACAAAAGGCGTGTGTGGCTTAGCGTTGTCCTGCTGAAACACAACTCCGCCTCTCTTGATCAAAGATGGCGTCTTCTAGATGAGTGCTGCCTACAAACGGTCCTTTTGTTGGCAGCAGAGAGCCGAGATGAGCGTTTGGCAATAGGGGAGCAGCTCGTAGTAGATGATTCTTTGCCAATCTCACCAAACACACAGCAAACCCTTCCTGACCGTCAATCCGTTCTTGGCCACCGACCGTTTGGGCACGATGTTGTCGCAAGGGACCTATTTTTCATCGCCAGTCACAATCCACTTCAAAAACAACAAGCTCGTTTTCAACGCTGTATAGTGTTGCTGCAGCAGCCCAGCTCACGTACCAGTGTCTATAGTAACCTATAATATTTTATGAGAGCGCCATGTAAACACAAAGTTGTCACCGCTTGCCTATGCCGTTGGTGACGGATTTTCTTCGATTATTTAATGTTACTTTAAGAAAAACTATACTGGCAAGCTTGTATAGCGACAAAAAATGAGCCGAGCCGGTTTTACGGAATAAATCAAATCGCCGTTGGTTTCTGCGGGACAATCGTCACTAACGGCATGGGCAAGCGGTGACAACTTTGTGTTTACATGGCGCTCTCATAAGATAGGTTACTATGGACGGCTGGTACGTGCCGTCCATAAGTGGCGACGCCAAGGCTATATACATACACGAGTTATCGACGCTGCTGAGAGCGCCGAAATGTTTCCAGCTGCTAGTGTGTTTGCACACTTTTGAACGAATTCATTATTTTCGTCAGCGAATTTCATAATTTATATGCTTGAATATAAATACAAGACAAATATGCATGATCTATATGGTAACAAATAATTAGTTACGCATTTAGTTTTCATTTATTTTGAAAAAAACTACGCATTATCTTCGATTATTTCATATTACTTTAAGAAAGGCTATTCTGACAACCTTGTATAGCAACGAGAAATGAGCCCAGCCGGTTTTACGGAAAAAACCAAATCTGCGTTGGTTTCTGCGGGACTACCGTCCCTAACGGCATGGGCAAATGGTGACAACTTTCTGTTTACATGGCGCTCTCATAAGATAGGTTACTATGGACGGCTGGTATGTGAGTTGGGTAGTTGCAGCATAAGTCTTTTGATGCGTAGCTCTTTTTAATTCGCTGTTGTATTCAGCTATTTAATTTAATATTCTCTTGAGGTCATATATTACGACCTGTTAATCATCAATAAAGCGTGTACAAATACTTTGTTTAATTGAACTCGATCGTGTACTATTTAAACAGGTTATGGGCCCAGCGTGGTTCAATTACTTAAGTTCTAGGCTGCAACTACCCATTTCACTTACCAGCCGTCCATAAGTGGCGACGAAAAGGCGAGATACACACACGAGTTATCGACGCCGCTGAGAACGGCGAAATGTTGCCAGCTGCCTGTGTGTTTGCACACTTTTGAACAAATTCATAATTTTCGTCAACAAATTTCATAATTTATTTACTTGAACATAAGCACAAGGCAAATGTATATAATAATACATAATCTATATGGTAACAAATAATTAGTTACGCATTTAGTTTTCATTTCTTTTGAAAAAAAAACTACGCATTATCTTCGATTATTTAATATTACTTTAAGAAAGGCTATTCTGACAACCTTGTATAGCAACGAGAAATGAGCCCAGCTGGTTTTACGGAAAAAATCAAATCTGCGTTGGGTTTCTGAGGGACTACCGTCACTAACGGCATGGGCAAACGGTGACAACTTTGTGTTTACATGGCGCTCTCATAAGATAGGTTACTATGGACGGCTGGTATGTCAGTTGGGTAGTTGCAGTATAAGTCTTTTGATACGTAGCTCTTTTTAATTCGCTGTTGTATTCAGCTATTTAATTTAATATTCTCTTGAGGTCATATATTACGACCTGTTAATCGTCAATAAAGCGTGAACAAATACTTTGTTTAATTGAACTCGTCGTGTACTATTTAAACAGGTTATGGGCCCAGCGTGGTTCAATTACTTAAGTTCTAGGCTGCAACTACCCATTTCACTTACCAGCCGTCCATATGTGGCGACGAAAAGGCGAGATACACACACGAGTTATCGACGCCGCTGAGAACGGCGAAATGTTGCAAGCTGCCTGTGTGTTTGCACACTTTTGAACAAATTCATAATTTTCGTCAACAAGTTTCATAATTTGTTTGCTTGAACATAAACACAAGGCAAATATATATAATAATACATAATCTATATGGTAACAAATAATTAGTTATAGATATATTTGAGGTCCGCAAATGGCTGAGGAATCCTTCCATATTTCCCACCGGCCAAACGGCAACAATTACAGATTAGGGATCCCCTGCGGGTTAGGGGATCAAGAATTTAGCCGCGTTAAGGCATGCCTGTCGTAAGAGGCGACTAAAATTATATACTTCCCGCGGCAGTCGGGTCTTTATACCGGAACGACCCGGGCTTATATCCGGCCAAGGACTGTCTTTCCCGCAACATTCCTCAAAATGTACTTTAGGGAATATTTTTGCGGTTACAACAACGACAAAACAGATTGAGGATATTCAACATAGATCCTGTACGGAGGGGCCACGAACTATTAGGAATAGTACAAGGAATATCTAGAGTCAATGATTCGATATCCAAAGATCAAAAGGATTTATGGATGAAGCTTGATGGTAAGGTTACGGGAAGCGACCATGTGCTATATCATGTACCACTTCGAACGAAGTCTATGAGAAATTAAAAAATATTCACGACAAAAAAAGTGAAGTAAAAGTTATGTGCCTTTATGAAGAGTATTTCTCGCTTCGAATGCAGGAAGACGAGTCAGTAGCAGCATATGTATCGAAGGCATCATCGTTAGCAACAGAAATAGATGCACAAGGAGAAAAACTGTCTAAAAACATTGAGATGCTACGAATTATAAGCAGTTTGCTACCAAAATATCAAAACTTCAAAACCGTGTGGCATAACATATCATTCGCTGAAAGAAAGGGAACTTCATAATGTAATTTTTTTAATAAGGTTGGACATTGGGAGCGAGAAAGATGAGTGCAGCAGGGCATAAATGGAAGAACGGTGATGAGCTGGCATTTATTGCGTCGAAGTCAGATGTTATGTCAACTCCATATACTGATGTATGGATCGTAGACTCGGGTGCTACGGAGCATTTAACTTCACGCAGAGATTGGTTCGCAGACTTACAGATAACAAATTCAGACCGGTACGTGTATATTGCAAATAATGAAATACTTCGGATTAGTGGTTTCGGTAGAATAAAAGTGTTTGCTCTCGAATGTACAATATGTACCCCAGCCAGCTACGGCAAAACCTATTCTTTACTGGTTCAGAAACAACGAAAGGGTTTTCGATGTTGATAGAATCCCAATATTTTATGTTGATAGACCAAAAAAAATTTGTTTACATTGGGTACTCGCCACTGTAAAAGATTCAAAACCCTTACCCAGATATGATAATGAAAATGTTAGCTTCGTAACTCAGCAAAACTTGATTCGCTACAGCAACGGCATCGCAGGCTTGGACATATAAATTTAGCAACAATTAAAAACATGTGTGATAAACATTTGGATATTGGTATTAACGTAGACAAAACTGATTTCTTTTGTGAAAACTGCAAACGCGGAAAAATGCAAGGGCAGTCACATAAGACTGCAGAGAGACGGGATGCGAACAATAGATTTATGCGGCCCAATATCTGTAACAGGTATTGGCGTAGTTCGTTATTCTAAGTTTCTTAAGGACGATAGCACATGTTTCAGGTATGTTTATTTTTTTATGTAACAAATTTGATGTACTTAAAAACTCAATTGCTTTTTTTATGGTTTGCAACATGACTGGCGAAACGGCGAAAAATATACGGTGCGACAATGGAACGGAGTTCATTAATAAAGACGTTGATGAGTTGCTGGCGAATAATGGAATTGCTCTGGAGAACATTTCTCCATATACTCCGGAGCAAAACGGTTTTATTGAAAAAGAAAATAGGACGATTCAAGAATCTGCTCGTTCAATATTATTAACAAGCGGTCTAAATAAATATGTGTGGCCTGAAGCCGTAAGAACTGCAGAACATATTTGCGAAACTCTCTGGATTGGGAAGTAAATTGAAAACACCATTCGAGATCTGGTTTGGTAGAAAGAAAGATTTTAATCATTTAAAGGTTTTTGGTACCGAATGCATGGTATACTTACCGAAACAACTTGGAAGTAAAAAGTAGGACGCTAAAGCGAAGAAGATGTTTTTAGTTGGCTATGAACCATCGTCCAAAAATTTTTGTCTCTACAATCAAAATACAGCTAAAGTGGTTACATACCGCGACGTTGTTTTCAACGATAGTGTAAGAAAAGTTATTCCTTTTCACAATGAAGACGAGGGAGAAACAAATAACGTGAGCGATGAACAAGAAAAAGGAGAAAGCGACTTCTCACCATATCTACAGCATATATCCAGCACACCAAAAATTACGATGAAAATTGAAGAATCAACTATAATATGTCAACTACACCTACTAGTTCTGTATCTCTTGATTCAAATACTTATTCAAGAAAACAAAAAAGGTATGGTCTGCGAAGAGACGTTTTACCCCCTCAACGTTTTGGATACGAAC